GAGGGGGGGGGGGGGGGCAAAGTCAAAACGGGAACCCAAAAAAGGAGGGGTCAAGGCTTAATTAATTAAGAGGACGCGGGTGTCTTGGAAGAGACGAAGGCTGGAAATAATAATGCGCCAGTGATTGTTATTATTGCGGGCAGGGAGGGGGACTCGGCCTTTTAACTGGCTGATTGCTGGGTACGTTTTCTGTTTTTGGGGCTTTTGCTTTTCTCTGTTTCCTGGAGAAACAACCTAGAGTCGGCAGCAGTTTTTGAAGTCCATAATACTTGCTTGTACTTGGGGTATGGCGATCGTCTCTCAGTCCATTTACCCTAAAATATGCGGGCAACAAGTCTCTCATAATAATACATGTTAACATGCGATCAGGAAGCAAAAGCTCAGGGCTTGGAGCTCGGTTTTCCTGAACGTCCGGGTTAAACAAAACGGCGGCCGATATCTACGATGATTGGAGGAACCGACTGAGCTAAATTCTGGCTTCAGTTCAGTTTCCAGCGGGAGCAACGGGAAAAAGAGAGAGTGGTTTGGACGATTGTCAGATGATTCGATAGCGTTTTTGCTTTTTGGTTGGGCGTCGAGAGGAGGGAGTTTTGATGAATACCTACCTCTCTGCCTCTCCTTCTTGCTGCAATCGCGGATATACTTTACAGCAGGGGTTGTTGTGGGCAACACAACTCGCAGTCACAGCTTCTGAAGGCCAGGCTCGCGCCGCTCACTCGGGATTCCACCAACGCCCCTCGAACTGGACAGAAAAAAACTCATTGTGCATCATCACAGTAAATTGCATGCATGTCCAGAGCTGAACCCTGTTTTTTTCGGAACTTGTGACAAGAGGAAAGAAACCCTTTTTTTTTTTTTTTTTTTTTTTTTTGCTTTTTTGAAAACTTTGCCTTTCTTTCCAGCCTGCCTCGCTTTTTCTCGAATAAGTTACTTCCAACACTTAGTTACAACCAAACCTCCTTAGCTCGCATTTCTTGTTTAGCCTTCTTCCAAACCATTGTCCTATCACCGATCGTCGTGCTTGGATTTCCCACCATGCATGATGTTTTTTCCCGATACAGTATGTCGTGAAGGTGGCCGATGAATGACGCTCCCGCTGCTGCTAGTCTATGAAACCTGTGATTCCATGGCGCATAACTATCTATGTACCTCCTCCCTACCTGACCGGAGGCTTGGGGACGGGTCAGGCGAAGAGTCGTGTGGGCAAGGACTGCACATCACCCTAAGTCCATCAGTGCTTCTTTATTTATTTTTTATTCTTTTATTTATTTATTTATTCTATTTTCCTGCCCTTTGCTCCCCTCCCTTGTGCCACACGTAGATGAACACACCCATGCAGCCTTACATACATAACGTGCATTGGTATGGCTGGACCGGTGATCGTGACGGATCTCTCTAACCTTAGCGGTTAGGGGTATGGGTTGGGGAGGACGACTGTGCCGGCGCCCGGGGGGGGGGGGGGGGGGGGGAAAAAG